GATTATTGATTTCACTTAATACTGTTCTGGTTCAGTATCATTTGACGGATATGCCTCAATATTATTATAATCGTCACCAGTATTAACATTAATTATACCTTGGTCATCATTTTTTTCTTTCTTATTAGTGGAATCATCCTTGTCTATTGTTTGTACCTGGTTTCCAACCTCATTATCAGAAGTAACTTCACTATTAATCCCAACATCACTTGTTACACTATTGACATTTGAAGTATCATCTTGCATGTCAATATTAGTATTGTCATCATGAGTAATAACCACATTGTTTGACTGTTCAGTTGTGTCAGATATTATGCTGTTATCACCAGCATGTTCCAGATTTTCACTATTATGAAGTTCTATTTGTTCATTTGCAATATCTTCAGGAATTTCTGAAACTTGTTCTTGTTCTTTAAGTGTTTGCTCTTTAACGATTGAGATGGCATTTACCAATATGTTACAAGTAGTTTCTTCATTCATTGATTTTTGTGATTCGGACTCTATTTCACTTAACTGTGTAACATTATCTTCAGATGAAATCTTATCAGCTTGAATGGTATCATTTGTATTTTCAATGGCTGAGTTTTCTGAAGGTGGTTTTGACATCTCATTATCTTGAACTGCAGCATTTTGTTGCGAGTTTTCATTTTTAGGTAGCTCATTCTCGACACAAATTACTTCACTCTTTCTACTCTCTGTAGATGGCTTATCTCCAACTGAATTTATAGTTGTTGGTTGTGGATCTGATATAATTTTACAATCATCATCATCAGAGTCTGAGTCAATTGTTTGAATTACATTAGGATCTATATTGGGTGTCTTGATTATTTGTCTCACTTTTGGTTTCACTTTAAAGACATTTGTACTCTTATGAAACTTGAATTTAGCAACTGATACAATAGAATCCATATTTAGTTTTCTGTCAGTCTCAAACTTTTTAAAAATATCTTTGAATTCCTCTCGATTCTGCTGACCGATTTCAGCAGCTGAAAGCTTTTTGCGAGGTGGGTCAGCTTTAATGATTGAAGATGCTGACTGCAAATTTGTTCCTTCTGAAGATTGGCCTTCGAGAGACTTGCACAAAGTATCAGTCCATTCTGATAGATGAGTGTTAAGCTCAGATTGATTACTTTTTAATTTACCAATTAATGCAGATATGAAAAATGAAAGCTGCACGTGCATATTTTTTACTTCATCATAACTGCAATTTTGAACTTTTTGAGCTTTAGTCTGCAAATCAAGCAACTGTGATACAAAATTGTACGCAATTACCAGACAGCTCTGTGTATTTGCGTGAAACCATTCAGGTAATTTTCTCAGTTTCATAGCATTTATAGAAGGGTTTTCTTTTAATTTTTTTTGAAGCAATGATGATAAAGTTTGATCGTTTGGTTTATTCTTTGCATTATTATCTGTTGCGTTTGCAGCTGAACGGACATATGTCTTTGTGATATTTTTATTTACTTGCATGTATTTTGAATTACGATTGTTTTGTGCTGGCAAGTTCTTTACTTGAGTAACACTCATAGCATTACCAATAGGAGTTTGTTTAACAGGAGTAGGAACTGTATTATTAGCAGCATTCATTGCTGGATTGAGGATCAGAGGTGACAGAGGTGGTGGATTAACTGCAGACCTGCGTTGTACAGGTACCAAATTATATCTTAAGTTAGCATTATACATGGCTCCAGTATTTGGAATGACTAAATTTGTTTGGCCAGCATGTAGAACATTCCCTTTCATTGGCATTGGGTTATCATTTATCCCCACACTTGGTCCAGGCATGGGACATAATAATAGCCTATTTTGAGCTATTGCTGGAAACATAGGCTGATCAGGAGATTGCATCAGAGATTCTGGAGGCCGGACAGAAATTCTTGGCTTCTTTATTGCAGGTTCCTCAGAACCATTCATATGCGATATTGGTTCAGATTCCATCTCAGTATTTACTGGATCATCAGGATCATCTTCCAAGCAACCGAAAATATCAGGAGTGCAGACCACTTCATGCTCCTCCTCAGTGTCCATTTTAAATCCAACTGTCGTTTTTGGAGCACTTTTACGTTTAGGTATTAATGTTTGGACAATATCTGTTTTTACTATACTTAAATTTCTTTTTCTGGATTTACATTCAGATGTATCAATCTTGTTGCATGCACTTCTTACTTTGCAACATAAAGAATGGTCAATAAAAGATTGTTGTTTTCGATGACTAGATGGGTCTAAATTTTCACATGCTCTGCAAATAAAAAAAAAAACAAAATAAATGATAGCTAACAATATATTGATAATAAATGAATATTTAGCATTAAAAATAAATGAAAGTTTTCTAATATTAGAATTAAATATAAATATTAAATAATTTATTTTTTAGCTACTCACATTTTCTCCAATCTTACATAATTAGAAAGAGCCCAACACCGAGCCTGAATCATCCACATAGGTTTTGAATCGCATCGAAAGCAAGCCCACTCATCACTGTCATCAATTATTTTTATAGTAGACCTTGTAAAGTTCCTTTTTATGCATGGTTTGCAGAATACAGTTGGACATTTTGAGCAACAATAAACCTATGATAAAATAAGCTATTATACATTTTACCTAATATTTCTAAAATTTCAATTTTTATGGTATACTGTTAAAATAATAGTTATTTTCGTGATGATCGTCACAAGATCATATTTGGGCTGGCATTTAAAGAGTACTCATCATAATAACTATTGTCTTAATCGTTCCTTCCTTATTAATTACTTGTAATAAAAGTATTCCAAAATGTACACAAAAACCATTACATCAAAAATATTTTGCCATTTAATTTGTTATTTCAATCATTCACAGTTCTATCTGAAAAAAGTATTAATATTCTACTGAATAAGACAATGAAACAAAATAAATCTGGTGAGTAATGGAATTTTAAATAAAACTAATTATTTGATGTTTAACTGCTCTTTTCATATTGCATTTTTTCTTTTATAGAATGTAATAGAGAATGAAAATAATATAGTGTGCTTAAAAAAATCAGTTTGAATCAGCAAACACACAAACCCAGACAAAAGAAATTAATTAGTTGACAAACTCATGATGAGTAAATCAAAATAAACCAATTCATATTATATACTTTCACAAATTCTCATTGTAAAAAGAATTTCATGCTACCTTTGTGGGGTATTTTTTCCTCACCTGGCCTCCTTGTCCACACCACCTGCAATGCAACTCACTTCCATCATCACCTCTCTCAAAAACTCCAGAATTATAGAAAGTTAAACAGGGACCACACAAAAGCACTTGTAAATGGGGATGGACAAAAACATTTCCTAAAATATAATGACATTATTGTGGAAAATCAGTTAGTATTAAAAATGATAAATAAACAGCATACCTAAAGTGTTTGATCCCAAATGAACATCACAAGAAGTACAATGTAACCTTTCCGTTTTAACGTTTCGAATATCTTGATATATACTCAAAAAAAAATCTTTTTGCTCCTGACTTAAAGATGGATCGAATTCTAACTCTTCTGCAATTAAACATACGTTTTGACATTGATAGTTCTGAATCTATCTTGAATCTAAATCTTGTATGTTCTAAAACATACCTTTGACATCTGCTAAAGCGATTAACGGGATTTCATTATTGCCCTCCATTTGAGGTTATTATAGGTATACTTGGACACAGTTATTGCGCTAAAATTAATAATAAAGAACTCAACTACTCATTTGATGCTTTATGTTTTATAACATTTTATAACATCTCAACGCATAACACTTTTGCATGTTCCATCTAACCACTAACGCGAACAACAATAGTTATACAAACAATTGATTGCCACCATCTTAGATTTTGAAAGCACAAACTGAACATTGATGTATTCAGGTGTAACGTCAATATTTATAATTTATTATTGAAAATGAATTATTAGTTATTATTAAATAAATTATTTAAAATGTCAATCATATAACTAAAGTAAACCAGTTTATTTGTTTCATTAATTATTTTAAATAACTTTTTATTGCCGATATCCACTGTGCGTCGTATTGCCTGATGTTAAGATAAAAGAAAAAATAGTAAAGCATCAGACACCCATCATGACGTGAGATTAAAAAATCGCGCGAATAGCAATACTTACAAACCGCGCATAAACTAAATTTTTGCTGTTAATATACCGTTAATATATATGTTTTAATCATTACCATAGAAATAAATGGTTTCATCAAAGAAACAAAAACATAATTTGTAAAAACGACTTCAAACTTTTTATATATTATTATTGAGGTTATAATTTTTAATAAAATCCCATGTCATTAAAATGTTATAATCATTTCATTTCATTCTTTACATATTATGTATTCATATATATAACGTCACATTATTTGATTTTATTTTTTACATATTTATGAAGGACTTAAAAAAATACTACTTAGTAATAATTACATTAAATAATACATTTTATTTGAATCTCTACTGAATATAAATAAATGATACAACCAATTGTTTATAAACATATGGTGATTACTTCTCATGAAACTGTACAAATGATAATCTAAATTAACAATTCTATTCTGAGAAACTAAATGCTCTTTGGCTAACACCTGTTATTTTGGATCCATTCATATATAAAACCATTAATAAATATAGTTTCATTAACACTTCTATGATAAACTCAAATCAAGCTCTAGTCACATAGAACATCTGATACAATTTTTTCCATTTCAACATCTGTATCTGTTGCTTCAGTTGTTAGTACGTCTTGCACAAGGTCAGGCTGAGCGGACAAAGATGAATGGTATGCAACACCAGATGTCCAAGGGTCTGTTTGCTGATTTGGATTTAATGTATTTAGTAACTGTCGAAGTTGAGGTGCTGTTGGAGTTGTTGGCGATGTGTCAGCACTGAATGGCGGCTGGTCTAATTCGCACATTCCTTCGGGCACAGGAAGTTTAGACAATTCCTCTCTTAGTAACTTATAATAGCGCTGAAAAATTGAACAAAAATTAATCAAATGTTGTTTTAGTTTACCAAACTAAAATCATTATTAGACCTTTATATAATGAATAACTTTGTTGTTTAGAGAATTGAATAAAATGAACAGTTTGTGGTCACAAATATTAATTAAAAATATCTAATATCTAATTGCAATAGTATCTAGTATATATGACAAATATATGATGATAAAAATCATGAGGTATATGGATTTAATTTCTTGCATTATAAGCAAACACTAAAAAGAAAATAACCATGATTTTAGAATTTCAATAAGTGAAAGAATAAAATATGAAGACTTTCTAATATTTCATTTTAAACTATGAATATATATTTTTTTAAATCAATACTAAAGCGTGTTGGCAAGCTCCATCAACAGTTTGCGTATTAAATCAGAATTGTAAAATAATGGAATACTAAAAAGTCTACTAAAAAAAAATTCTTCAAAATAGGGGCAATTGTGGTATATTTTCTAATTTTATTATATATATATATATATATATATATATATATATATATATAATATATATATGCGCATAGAGAGAGATACTTTATTCAAATTCAAGATGTACAATTTAAGTCCATACAATTATTATTTTTATCACAATATTATAATATAACTAAAATAATATAAATTATATTTATGAACAACTCTAGGATTAACCTAATTGATAAGATGTTTTTTAAAGACAGCGTTGAAACTATTCCTGCTTTTACTCTTCCACTCATTGGGAAGTTTGTTGTAGATCTCGACACCTAGCTTGTTCCTTTGCGAGGATTTCAGCTTCAGTTTTGGATGTACAACAGCATTCCTGTTCCGCGTGTCATGGACGTCACTCCTCAGGACATGGTTTGTTCTGTCTGCATGGAGGGCAATCGCCTGCTGGTAACAGTTAGTATTCTAAATTTAGTAAACAAGGGTCTGCCTTACAGCCTTCTTCTGTAAGTCCATTATCTTGGAGGTAGGCATCTAGTGTCCCCATACCAATATTCCATATGAGAACACAGAGTGAAACATGGCAAAGTAAGCCTCTCTGGCGCATTCCTCATTTATAATGTATCTTACTCTTCTGATGGCATATATTGATTTTGAGAGCTTAGTGCATATCGAATCTATGTGCTTCGCCCAGGTTAGCAGACTGTGTATAGTGAGACCCAAATATTTATTTTTCCCTCCATGCAGCTCCTTATGTCTCCTACTCGAAGTAAGTTAATATGGACTGTTTTTCTATTGTTCAGTACAATTTTGTTGGCTAAAAACCAATTTTCAACTTGCTTGTGAGCATACTGAATTTTTTCGTTCATATTTGCGATGTTCTCGTCCGCAACCGCCAATGATGTATTATCTGCAAGCTGCGTTATATGGCAGCTGATGTTCGGTGATAGATCATTCACAAATATGATAAAAAGAAGTGGCCCAAGAATACTCCCTTGGGCAACCCTTGCGTTTCACTTCGTTTATTGTTCCATTCCACAAACTGATACCTGTTACTTAGGTATGATTGCATAAATTAAAGGGCTACGCCTCTAAATCCATAATATTCTAATTTCCTGAAAAATATATCCAAAAGCTTTGCTGAGATCGCAAAATAGTGCACCACAGTGTTTATGATCTTCCAGTGTGAATTTGATATAAAGTTCAAAAAGTCTGGCACAGCATCCATTGTGTTAATTTTCTTTTTAAATCCAAATTGAGTTTTTACAAAATATTTATTAACATCGTAAAAACTTGTAATTCTCAATGCTAACAGCATTTCTGTAATTTTCGAAAATATTGGCAGTATGACTATCGGTTTGTAGTTTGCTGCTGATTGACGATTTCCTGATTTATATAATGGTACTACTCTTGCCAGCTTCAAATCCTCTGGAATGAGGAAAAAATATCATGTGCACAACGGTCCAGCATTGTACTGTGCGACAGATTTTACCATTTTTATATTAATGCCAAAAGCATCAAACGACGTTTTATTTTTCAAGCGTTTAATCATTGTATTAATGTCCTCTGGGGTAGTTGGATTTAAAAATATACTTTGGCCCTTCACAAATACCTTTGTCAAATAGACGTTCGCTGCAATTTCTGGCTGGGGCAGATTTTTTACTACATTTATGGCTACATTTTTGAAAAAAATATATAGTCTTCAATACTGGGTGCCTCATGACTTATGTTACCTGTAAAATTTTCACCAGTTTATTATGATCCAAATTGTGATATTTTGTTATCAGAATGTATGATGTCTTTTATATTCGTTTGTTTTTTTTCATACTCCATCTTTTGGATGTATTGCTTTTTCAGATTTTCATAAAAAGCTTTATAATCAGCCCTTTTTATTTGTTTAAATGCGTCATATGTTAAGTCGGCCATTTTCTTCAATTTCAGGACTTCTAGAGACTGCGCTGGTTTCCATTTTTGTTTGATCGATACTCGTTTATATATATAAGACTGCAAGGGAATGCATTTCAAGCTATCTTCTCAAATATAACTAAAAAGTTATCGAAATAGTTACCGAAAGTTTCCAGTCTACTTGGCCAATTTGATTAACAAAGTTGTCCATGTAGAGACCACCGATCTTTCTTACAGTGCGGAATGTACTTTCATTAGGGTCAACTCTCAAACGAATAAGCAGAGCTTCATGATCCGAGATCGCCGCTGGAAAGGTATCTACTGAAAAATTAATTTTATCGACGTTTGTAAATGCGTTATCAATGAAAGTTCCTGAAGTAAGACTAATATGAGTGGGTTTCATTAAGTAATGCTGTAGCCCAAACATAGACATTAAATTGATCAACGCATTTGTTCCATTTGATTTTTCAATAAGGTTAACATTAAAATCGCCGCATAGGATGATGTTTGTTTTTAAGTCAAAATTATCATATATAATCAGTAAAGTCTCCTCAACTTTCTGCAAGAATGTGTCAAGAGTCGCATTGGGTCTCAGTCTCACATCGATATTACAACCGTTTTTCATTGTTTTATATGGCATGCGGCCATTTCGCACGTCAGCTCATCGGAATGTGATGTTATGTAATTTAACTCCAAACATTCTATCTCTTTCCGGCAGTAAATAACACCTCCCTACGTGCATATTTTGACTAGCCGAAAATCACGTATGCTATACAGGTCGATTTGGTCGTTGCCAAGCCAATGCTCACAACATAGACAAATAATGTTTATTTTATTGTCATGGACGACCATTGTTAATGCCTCTGTTTTATTGGATAAACATTGAATACTCAAGAACATTATGTTGATCCAGTTTGACAATTTTTCTTTGCTTTTTCTCCCAGATTGAATAAAAAACGGTCCACAAAGACTCTTTTTGGCCAAACATCCGAAGATTTTATTTTTTCCAATTCGCTCTCCGCAATGGAGACCTTGAAAGAGGCATAATGTTTCGGGATGTTTTGATGCCATTTCTCACATTCAATATTTTTGAAGTTTTTTTCATTTAAGTAATATTCCGTCGATGTTTCCGGTGCCAGGCGAAACATGCAGGAAGTCTTTCCTCACTACTCCCGCGAGAGTAGTGGTCACATTTGTTCCTTCGATAGCTTTGTTCTTACGCTTCGGCGACTTCTTTTTCTGGGCCAAAGTCCAATTTCCATCGTCATTTGCTTTAATTGATTGTTCAGCTTGGGTCGATTTAGTAGGTAATTTCGTGTTGGCAACCGCATCTCGGAATGTTTCAGTTCTACGCTTGTCTAATTCCTTCGAAGCAGTAGCTACTGCGACACTCACCTGTTCCTTTAAGACCTTATTAGCATTGGCACTGTTTTATTGGTAGATTTATATTTAGGCTTCTTGGGTGCTGCTTTCTCAGTATTACTATCAATACTGGTTGAAGCTGACTAAACCTCTTTTTTCTTTTCATTTGGCTTTAATAATTGAAGCATCTTAATTTTTTCTTTAAGCTGCTGAATTATGTATTCCTTGTCTTTTATTATTGTCATCTAATCATCTATTGTCGTATTTTTGCCGATGATTGTTTGCTTTAAGTTGTTTATAGTATTTTTGTCACTTGACACTTCACTGCTCACGTCACAGCACTGTATCAAAATTCCAATAATGAATTTGAAACCTTTTCTTGTTGCACAACTCACATGGTAAATTTTGCCACAGTTCTTACAAACACCGAACTTGCAGATGGTTTTGTTTCGCAGCAGTTGTAGGATTTTTTGAAATCCGATTCCCGAGATAGGTAATTGTGTCAGAGACACGGTTCAACGGTTGACGAACGTGCGATATATATATATATATATATATATATATATATATATATATATATATATAAATATATATAGATATATATGTATATATATATATATATATATATATATATATATATATATATATATATAGGGCCGGTTCTTTTTTTCTAGCGCTCCCCCCCCCCCCATTAATTTTAACTGTTTTAAGAGTTTATTTATATTGTTTTTAGTAGTAATTTATGTCCAAAAGCTTCACTTTAACAAGTATATTGGCAAAGTTAACCCCTTAACTTACAATTTAGTAAAAGTATTTATTAAAGTTGTTCAAGCTGGCGCGGCGTTTGTGACTATTTTCCCTTATAGTGTACGGTTTATCACAAAAATAAAAATAATTTTGTGTTTTATAGTTTCGTATGATTAAATATTTTGCAATACTTGCGTTTACCATACCGGGCCATGCCCGAAAAGCGTAATTTTTGCCTCTGGCCCTAATATCGTACGCGGGCTATGCCCGTAATATTCACTTTTGGCCTAGTAATCGCTCGCGGGCTCTGCTCGTCATTTTAAGTTAAGGGGTATCAAATTATATTTGTATGATTTGAGTTGGTCCAAGTAGGTTTTTTCTTGTTTTCTTTTTCTGCTGCATAATATTAAAAATGCTATGAACATTTACATATTTCAGTTATTTTTAAAATCTCAGAATATCTAATGTATATAATCAAATAAAAAACTTAGTTGTTCGTAACCATTCAATTCATTGCAATGCAATTTATCAATAATTCTGTCCTTTAAGTAATAAATCAATCATGAATCAATCAAGTAATAAATCAGGCTTATATTATGAATCTGATAAACCTGTTCACCATATAGTAATTTTTACATAATTCTATGCTGATTTGTTATATCACAACATGGCGCTATTTGGAAAATTGTTCAGTGGCAATGTATAGTTGTATAATTTTCATACGTAAGTAAGTAAGGGTAGGAGATTCAAAATAAACTACATACCTTTAGTGTGACTGCATTTAATGAAGCCACTCTTCCCGTTCTCCTTTCAGTACTTTGAGATTCTAATTCTGATATCCACCCTTCAACCTGAATTGCTATTTCATGCCTTTTCATCCAAAAGTGTGTTTGAATAACATCTTTAAAACATGCACAAGGTTGCCTTAATTGCTCAAGCATTGCCCATCGAACACAAGCTTGGTATATGTTGGCATTATATTCACGAGAACTATTTGCGCCGCTAGGGGTACCGCGGCACCTCTCATAACCTGGTTCATTGAAGTATGGTTCCGGAACAAGGATTAAAGATTGTATTGATACTAGTACCTGAAAATAAAAATGCAGTCAAATTTTAATCAATTCAATATTAAATACAAACAGAAAACAAAAATATTAATCTTAAATTGCTTTAATGAATGTCAAATGATCAATATGTCGCAAATTCAACAAAAAGAACTTATTACAACAAACTTATCATAACAAATGATTATTAAAAAAAATGTATACTCACTCCTAATATATTTAAAGAGTTTGATTATTTTTGTATTTCTATTTTGAAACATTAATAATCTTTTTTAATATATTTTGAACATTAGTATAAAAAAAAGGTAGGAGAAATGCAAATCTTAGCTTTATTATATATTAGGTTGCATCACTAAATGTATTCATGCTGTGTACATATCAATACAAATTACCTGTAAGAAACTTGATGTTTGTGAATTCCATTTTTCTTCAGGTCTCCCATGCCATGTGTTGAGCACAGACAGACAGACTTTTCCATCGTTATAAAGATTGGGATTAAAACGAACACTTTGTCTACCGGTCGTTTCTAAATGCACATGCATAGGACTAGCAGGATAATCCGGTGGGAAAAAGACATCAAATTCGAAACAGCCATTGGCATATGGAGTCTCAGCTGGTCCAGTTATTAAAACCTAGAATAATTACATACTGAATACTCTATTTTACCTTTAATTTGATGAAATATTATGAAATTAGTTATTTTATTCACTTTCATAACATCTAAACGATCAGTATCACAGCGAACAAAAACAGAACTACTATAAGATAATGGTAAACTTGTTGACAAAGTAACTGCTTCTTGAGCCAAACGTTTAACTCTCCCAGGATGACAACATCTGAAGCCCATAGCTCGAACACTATTTTCATAATGATAGGGGACTGTAAATCGAAAACCAGTTCCGCCAGACATTGATCCAGTATTTTCCACCATCATTTCGTAAGTATCTGTGAATCATAAATCATTAAATCACATATTTATTAAGTTGTTAGCATATTTTAAATAATAAAATACTCAAATTTTTATGGGATAAATAACAGTAATATTTTAGAATAGTTTAGTTAATATAAAGTCTACAACAAATATTTTGTTAAATTTATGTAGAATCTTATGGATTTCAAATATATTATGCCATTAGAATGTCATTCATATCATATCAAATAAGATACAGTTTTGCATAAAAAATTACTGACATTTAATATGTATATATGTATGTATATATATATATATATATATATATATATATATAATATAATCTATATATATATATATATAAACTACAAATATATGTAAAATATAGTTACCAAATTGCAATTTCTTCATAACTTGCAAATATCTCTCTTCTAAGGATAATGTAATTGTCTTTTCTATGGAAATTCCAGATATACTTTCTGAATTTGCTATATTATCACTTTGACCTTCAGCTTTCAATCGTTGAATTGCAGTCTAAATTATAAAAAAATAATTTGAAATAAATATCATATAAACGTTAAAAATTTCCTAAGTGAAAATTGCAAAAATCGAAAATATTATCATTTCTTTAAATGAATATTAATATTTTTAATGAATGTAGGAATGTGTTTATGTTTGAAGTCGCTAACAAATTCAAGCTTACATACAAATATGTAAAATTAAAAAATTACAACTTGAATATGAAAATTGATTAAGAAGTGCATTGTACCAGACTAAAAGTTTTATGTAACTGAAGTTTTACCAATTTGCATAAAGTCATAATCAATGTGACAAAGCAACAAGTAAGTATTTATAATAAAACAAACCTCTACTAATAAAGCCGTTTCTTGTATTTCTGGTATGAGAGTTGCTAAGCCTTCGTCATCTTCATCTTCTTCATCAAGCTGAGTATGCAATTTTGAATGGCTTTTTTGATTTGGAATTTTACCTGTTGCTCTACTATTAGATCTGAAATAAGAATTAAGATATATCAAAAATTTATTTTTACTATACCAGATAAATTATTTATTTCTGATTGATAATTATATTCTTAGAACTTGTGAAGTAAAATAGTAAGAATAATAACATAAACTTGTGAAAGTTAATAATATTGTATCACTTACTTAAGTCTCATAGCATATGTGTCAACACATTGTTTCATAGTGCTTAGCAAACAGGAAATTGGTGTAGTATCCTCAGTGTTTAAAGTTGGTATTAGAAGCATTGCTAATTGATTACTTTGAGCAAACGCTCTAAGTAATTGTAATACTGCTAAGTACAAAGGAACATGACGGGCCATATCCAAAACTGAAATATTACAATATGTTCAATTTATTTTGCAAAATAGTAATAATAACATTAACACCCATCCTGGTGAAAAATGTTAATTCTGTACAGATGTTTTAAAATTTGTTTGTGCGTTTGATTCAGTGTTTCAGGAGCTGCATGATACAAATTTATTGGCATCAAATGTAAATAAAGATTTAGTCAAGAAAGTAATTAAACTACACCCTGCATCCACCCAATTAACAAAAATTAATGTAAATGAGATACAGTTGTATGTATGTTAATTAATGGAAATCTCTTATTAAAATTAAAATAATTGCTTATGCTGATATAGTCTGGAATTATAGACTTCCTATGTCTTGTAAAGAGGCTTATTGTACTTTTATTTTTCTGACAAAACAAACCCTAACGATGTGCACCAGTTATGGAAGAGTGCATTGTATATTCTTTTTATCAATAGCCTCATTCAAAGTATGAGCCTTATGTAGAAGTATAATATCGTCTGCATATGCATAATTTTGACTTCCAGATCTAGCTCGGTTTTGTAACTTGCAGGTATATATATTTGAATAATAGCGGACTAAGAACGGATCCTTGAGGTAGTCCTTCTTTCATTTTACGTGGTCCAAATTGTAATTGTACACCTAAATTGATTCTGCGGTTCTGAAGGTTGAACCTACAATTAGATGCCTCGGGCTACTTATTGAGGACAAATTAAAGTGGAAACCACACATTGATTACTAGTCTCTAAATGTGAAGAAGCACTGAATATTCTCAGGTTTCTTAATCACATAAATTATGGTGCTGATATCAAGATTCTCTTAGAATATATAAGCAATTAATACTATCTAAGTTGGATTATGGTAGTTCATATATGGCGACGCATCCAAAAGTGTACTTAGCAAACTAGACATAATTCAAAACAAAGCTTTGAGTCTTTTTTTGGGGTCATGCGTTCCACGCCTATCAATGCGTTATATGTTGAAGCTAACATATATCCTTTAACACTTGAGAAGGAGGTTATTGGCTTCAAACTTTATCATAGATAGAATGAAATTTAACAACGTAGTATTAAAGAATGTGAATCAGATCAATAATGAACTGAACATCCCATACTGGAGAAATAGGAAGAGGCCTATACTAATAACTGCGTATCGTGAAGTGGTAGAAAAATGTAATCTCTTACAAACTTGGACTGCAACCTCAAGATTTCATTTCAAATACGATGTTACTTCTTCTAATTTGAAAAATATAATTCAAATCGATTTCGCCAATGCGCACTATAGCGGAGATACCAATAAATGTAGGATGGAGGTCGAAGGAAGTATACATGAAACATTTGAAGACTATGATAGATTTTATACAGATGGTTCGAAGAATTCAGATGGTGTTGGTGCGTGTTTTACCATCAGGGGACAAATTCCTTCACAAAATATAAACTAGATAAAGATGCGTCGATATATACAGCGGAAATGTATGCTATTAATAGGTGCGTAAAGTATATTGATGAACATAATGTGAAGAAATCGGTAATAATCAGCGATAGCAGGTCTGCTCTTGAGGGCATGTTGTCGTTGGGAAAGGACCCGTCATTATTAACGATAGATACTCTAAATGACATACATGCGATATTATCAAAAAATTGGGAGTTACGCATTGTATGGGTAAGAAGTCATATTGGGATAGCTGGCAACGAAGCGGCGGATAACGGCGCCAAAGATGCAATAAATACAGGGACTGTTGCTGCGGATGGAATATCTTATAGAGACATAAAAAGATTTAACAGAGCAAACATACGGAACATTTGGCAATTGGATTTTCAGTTATCTATTAGAATTAAAGGTAAATTTTATGGTATGATACAAGGAAAAATTCCAGTCAAACCATGGTATGACGGATTTAAGGAGTGTCGGCCGTTTTACACAACATTGTGTAGATTAAGACTAAATCATTCTTACGCTCCGTTCTGCCTAAGCAGAATTGGGATCGATATCGATCCTAGTTGCTACTGCTTGGGCGAAGCGACTAGGGCGGATGCAGAGCACATCATCATGGAGTGTAAACGTTGGGAAAAGGGCAGACAAAAACTATGGGAGGAAATAATTAAACAAAAATCTCCCTTCCAATTAATTTTATAACAGTGATGACAGATACAAGATTATATGGAGCTCTTTATATTTACATCAAATGTAATAATATAAATTATAAATGCAATATACATAAAACAATGATATATATGTAAGAGATAGCGTAGATATTATGTAATTTCGTATATGGCTATGTACAGTTTATAAGCCAATAAAATAATAAAAAAAAAAAAAAAT